TCTGAGGTAGGGAAGTGCGTGTCTCGTTGGAGGAACACACAGAGGGTCATTGTGAGGTGAGCAAGGCCAGAGAGGCTGCCCTCCCAAGGTTGAGTCTTTTCCTGGGGGGGGAAGTCATTGGAGGGTATTGAGGAAGGGCGTGCTGCTGTCTACCTGTTGAGCAGCCTGCCCTGGCTGCTGTAGGATGGTCAGGATGGGGGCAGGAGTCAGTTAGGGGCCCTGTTGCAGCCTCTGGGGGCAGGGGAAGATGGTGACAGCTCAGGTTGAACCCAGGAGCAAAGACGGTGGGGGAAGAGAGGAGAGGAGAGGACTCCTGGGTCTTTGGCATGAACTCTGCTGGCCGGAGGAGCCCTTGGGGGAGCTGAGGATACCTGGGAGAGGAGGCAGGGGTGGAGTGAGAGAGCAGTTAGGGGCACAGTAATTTAGGGATGCTGGTCAGACATGCCAGTGGCTGGTAACTGTTTGAGGCCAGATCTCCAGGGAAAGGTCAGAGCAGGAGACCAGTTCTGAGGGTCCATCAGTAGGATGTTGTACAATGAGAGGGGGCCAGTGTCTGGTTCAGGGTCTCTGCAAGGCCAGCCAATAACTGTGACCCAAGGCATATGAGACCCAAGTGCAGGGTCTTTCCTATGTTCTGAGCTGAACAGCAGGGAAGGGGCATTTGGATGGTGGGCTAATAGTCCCCCAAAGATGTCCACGTCCTGATCCCAGAACCTGTGCATAGGGTACCCCACATGGCAACAGGGACTTGGCAGTTGTGATGAAGTTAAGGCTCTTGAGAAGGGGAGATGCCCTGAATCCCCCAGGTGGGCCAATGATGTAATTTCAAGGGTCCTTATAAGGGGGAAGGCAGGCGGGACAGAGTGGGGCGGAGCCATGAAGGTGTCATGAGCCAAGGAAGGGATCATGAGCCAAGGAGCACCCGCAGCCCCTAGAAACCGAAAAAGGTAAGGAATGAGCTCTCCCCAGGGCCTCCAGGAAACACGAGATCATGTTAAATCCACGTTGTTTTCAGTTCCTGAGTTTGTACTAATTTGTTAGAGCAGCAATAGGAAACTAATTCAGGGCTCTAGGGCTTTCCTAAATCTTTGGCCTCCAAACATTTTTGATTACTCACCTCAGTAAAAATGTTTTGATCATCCACATATTTGTATTGTTATACATCGCACTCTAAAGTAGACATTTAAAAGGGCATTTCCTTCCAGCCCCCAAACCAGCCCACTCTGGAGAGCCCAGCACCAGGCAGGCAAAGTCAGGGCTGGAGCCCCTGGGAGCCTCTAGAAGTGACGGGGACCTTCTGGGAGGGGAGGTTGGCCCAATTCTGGCCCTGCCCTGCTGGTGGGTGAACCTGGAGGCTCTGGCCTCTACCATGAAGGAGGTGAGGGAATTAAAAGCTGGAGGCTCTGACCATACCATGAATTGTGGCTTCAGGATAGCTGGGCCTGGTTAATGAGGCTGACTCACAGCGCAGGTGGCCTTGCAGAGTAGCCTCAGAGGGAGGTTGGGCTGGCCGAGGGCTGGAGGGCTGGCATTGCCCGCTGGGACCCAGAGTGGACCCATGAGAGGCACGCCAGCACCTCAGAACCTGGCTGGAGGATGCTCACAGATGCCTTAAAGGGTATGTTGCTTGGGGGCAGGGGGTGGTTTACAGGCAGAGGCATGAGCCTAAGGCCTGACTGTTGAGGAGCCATCAGGTAGTGACAAGAAGGCACATGCAAGGGCCAGAAGGATTCTCTTCATTGAGGCTGCGAGGGTGCAGATGGGGTGGCTTTTATTCAAATTCATTCAAACAAAAATCTCATCCCCTGCTCTGTTCCAAGCCCTGGGATGGGCCCTGGGGAATCAGCCAGGTGAACAGAAGGTCTCAGAGGGTTTGGCAAGCTGTCCTGTTCCAAGGAAGGCCCACATGTGTGGTTTGGGACACTTTGATGGGTAGGGGGATCTAGGCCCCCTAGAAATGCTCCTTCTTAGTCGTAGTGCCTCTGTTCTGGATGCTGGGTACAGGAGTCGGGGCCAAAGAAGGTCATTGTCAGATAGAAGTTTGGAGTCTGTCTGGTGTGGAGACAGGGGTAACCCTAGAAGTCACTTAATGGTTCTGGTGGTGAGCTTTACAGAAACCTAATCATCAAAAATCCAGACACATCTGTCCAGATGGAAAGGGGTTTGTAATATCAAAGGCCCTCTGTGGGAGTGGTGGTCTCGGGTCGAAGTCATTGTCTAGTGAATCATGAGGCTGAGGCTGCCCTGGAAAGGCTCTTGTGGGCAGAAGCACTCTCAAAAATGATGACAATAAAGTGATGGAAAACTGGCATTCCAGTTACAAAAATCCCAATTAGCATCAACCTTAGCTGTGAACTGTTGTACAAGAACTGTCTCCTTAGGTTGTGCACAGGTACCCGGGCCACTTATTTTAAACTACCAGTGGCTTTAACACCAATTCTTATGTTATCTTTGCACTGAAATCAGAGCTGTTCCCAGGGTGTGTTGGAGGCAGGGGTGCATCTCCCATTCGTCTGAGCCCCGAGCCTGGGCAGGAAACGGGTAAGGCAGAGGCATGGCCCACGGGGAGTTGGCTATTAGGACAGAGCCGTCTCCTGCACTTTCCCTGGCTCCAGAGCTTCCGCTGCCATCACCTGCTCCCTGCCAGATGACTTCTCAGCCCTCCTGAGGCCCAGACTCTGGGTCAAGAGGCTCATCTCTCTGGGTTGGATGCAGTGTGAACTCTCACCAGTAGGTGGTGCATCTGGCCGGATGTTATCACCTCTGCATTTCTAGCTGGTGCTTGGTGCAGGCTGGATGTTCTGGAATTGCTGGATGACTAGAAGGAATGAATGAGACAGGATGACAGTTACTATGTCAGGCACTAGCAGTTCAGAGGTTTTGAACTTGGTGAAGGCCCATCGGTTGCTTTTGAAATTGTCATAGCCTTTGCTTCTTTGTCTTTCAGAGTGAAACATCTTTCAACCTAATATCAGAAAAATGTGACATTCTGTCAATTCTCCGGGATCATCCTGAAAACAGGATTTACCAGAGGAAAATCCAGGTGAGGTGGAGGGTAGGTTCGATGGGCTGGATTTGGGAGCAGAGGAGACCGTTCCACTGGGAAGGCAAAAAGGCTTAGCATTTGGGCCAGGTTCCTGGACAAATTAAAGGCCTCCCAGAATATTTTGATATTGGGCATTTGCCTTAGTGAGAAATCGTTTAGTTGCACACACATGCACACAAAAATTTTTTTAAGCTAAGCGCTATCCTAAATGCTTTATTTACTCATTGAAACCTCATTACAACCTGAAGCTCAATACTTTTATTATCCATACTTACAAGCTGAGGAAACTGAGGCACAGAAGTTAAATGGCAGGCCCATGGTCCTACAGCTAGTGCATGAACAAGCTGGGGTTTGGGCCAGCAGCCTAAAGGTGTGAGCTGTACCCATAACCCCTCTGGAGAGAAAGGCCACTCCAGTGGGGTTGCAAAAGGGGTGTTTGCCAGGAGGAAGCAGGGACAGCTCACAGAATAGGGGCTCCTGGGCAGCAGGCGCCTGCTTTTCTCTGCGCATTGGTGGGACTGTCTCCTGCCACCACAGGGAGCAGTTCCTGGGGCAGGAGCAAGGGCTGGGCGCACCCTGACTCTCTTGCCCCCTGGAGCACTCTGGTCCTTTCCTGCCAGCTGGTCTCACGTGGGCCTGTCGGCACTGAGCCCCCTCATCGATGGTGACAAGGGACTCTGGAATCTAACGAAAACCATCTCTGCTGCCCCAGCTGTAGCCTCATGAGACAGCACAAGGGACTCCAGGTCACTTCAGAGGGAACTTGACATCCAGGGGCAAAAAAAGTTGGCATGGGAGGGACCATACCCTTTGAGGAGTGTTTGAAGGTCAGGCCAGACTGCTTCATGTGCCTGAGGAGGCCCTTCCAGCTGGTTCTGCAGCCTCCTGGCCACCCCCCACCCCCCGCTCACCCCCCCA